AAAAAAAAAAAAAAAAGAAGAAGAAGTAATTCAAGATCAGCCTGAGCAAGACTAAGACCCTATTTCTACGAAAAACAGAAAAATTAGCCGGGTGTGATGGTGGGTGCCTGTAGTCCAAGCTATTCCAGAGGCTAAGGACAGAGGATTGCTTGAGCCCAGAGTTTGAGATTGCTGTAAGCTAGCCTGAGCCATGGCACTCTATCCTGAGACAATTGAGACTATCTCAAAAAAGAAAAAAAAAAAGGCCAGTGTGGTGGCTCATGTTTGTAATCCTAGCATTCTGGAAGACTGAGGCAGTTGGATTGCTTGAGTTTGAGAGCGGCCTGAGCCAGAACAAGACTCTGTCTCTAAAAAAATAGCCAGGTATTGTGGCAGGCACCTGTAATCCCAGCTACATGGGAGGCTGAGGCAAAAGAATCACTTAAACCCAAGAGTTTGAGGTTGCTATGAGCTGTGATGCCACAGCACTCTACTGAGGGCAACAAAGTGAGACTCTGTCTCAAAAAAAAGACTTGCAGATACCTTATGGGGCTGACAGGGGACCTGCTCTGCATCCAGCCCTTCGTTAGGTCCTGGATATGTAGCAGTGGATACACTTTTGGGCTCATAGGTCTGTGTGGTAACCATGTGTACAGAACATAGAGGAGGGCTCTTCTGGCCCATCCCCTGTACTCATCCTCAGGAACAAAGCTGTTTATGATACTTTTGATTTGAGGGCAGTTAGTTTGATTCTTGATTCTTGGCACTGAAAGACATAGGGCCACTATATTGAAAGCACTGACTTCCAAGTGTGGACTGGGCAGTGCCTGTGGCTCAAGGAGTAGGGCACCAGCCCCATATGCCAGAGGTGGCGGGTTCAAACCCAGCCCTGGCCAAAAAAATAAAATAAACAAACATCTTTTAAAAAAAAAAATGTGTGGACCTACATTCTGTCCCCAAACCTTCCTCTCTGAGCACTGCCTGTGGAGAAGGAGGTGTGAGACTAGCAGGCCCTGCTGCTCCTCATTTACAGCCCTCCCCAACAAATTCTGGCCTCTCATTAGGTTCAGCTTGAGTTCCCCACATCTTTTATTTCTGTGACTCCAGTTGACTTTACCTCTAAAGTAGCACTTGAGTCCATCACCTCTCCATCTTGGCAGTTTCCCCTGGCCCAGGTCCCCGGGATTCCTCTAAGCAGGACAGCTTGGGATGCATGTGTCTAGTTTGCCTATACATAGGATAAATCTCTGCCAACTGAGCTAGGCCCTTACGTTTGTGGAGGCATCATTTTTGCCTGTTCTTGAGAGGGCTGCAAAAGTGAAGGCTGCCATCCTGGCCTAGAAGTATGAGTGTATTTATTGGTTGGCTTCTTGGGAGCTGATTCCATTCATAAACCCCTGTGCTTAATGCAGGTCTGACTCACTAGCAGAGAAACAAAGTGAGATTGGGTAGTTGGCTTTACAGGGACTCAGGCCCATGTCCTGTGGTACACACGGGAGTTTAGCATGTCAGATTGAGATAAGAGGCTATGCGGGTGCCCTGGTCTGTGCACATGGGAGCTCCTGACAAGTAGGCCACGCCACCATCTTCTTTACTGCAGCACATCGACAAAGTCTTCAAACACAAGGACCTGCAGCAGCAGCTGGTGGACGCCAAGCTCCAGCAGGCTCAGGAAATGCTAAAGGAGGCAGAGGAGCGGCACCAACGAGAGAAGGATTTTGTGAGATTCAGGCCCCAGGGTTGGGGTGGGAGGAGGTGGGTTGGGTTCTGGCTCAGCTCATAGTTAGGATTGTATAAGAGGTTCCTGGCTGGCCAGACAAGGCACTGATTCCTCAAGTACCAGCCTGAGAGTGGGAAGCCTTAGCAGGTCTGGTGCTTATGGCTAAAAAGACCAAATGTAGCCTCTGGGGGTTCTGTCTTGGAAATAGCTCCTGAAAGAGGCAGTGGAGTCCCAGAGGATGTGTGAGCTGATGAAGCAGCAAGAGACCCACCTGAAGCAGCAGGTGAGACTGTGTAACCTGACCCTGTGCCTCCAAGGTCCCTCTATTGGGCCCCATCCTGGGGGAAGTGGAATGGAACCCTCATTCTAGGACTGGCTCTGCCTGACTGCTGTGTGACCTTGGCTGAACCTTTGTTCTCTCTGGACCTGCCTGCCCATCACCTGTGTGGTGGTAACCAGGTAGCTAGGTGAGCTCTTAGCTTGGAGGTGTTGTGTTGCTTTTGAGGAGATGGGGACAGAAGTTGTTTTTAGCTATGTAAATTACACCTGCTTTGAAAAGGAAAATTCGAAAATAACATAAAGGCCAAGTATAGTGCTTGCTTCAATAGCACATACTAAAATTGGAATGATAACAGAGAATATTAGCTTGGCCCCCGCACAGGGCTGACATGCAGATTGGTGAAGTGTTCCATAAAGAGTCTAAGTATAGGTCACCCAACCCTTTTAACCAGAGACACCATCTTGTAGTAATTCACCAAAATAGTGAACATAAAGAAAGAGGAAAGGCCAGGTGTGGTGGTTCCCGCCGTAATCCTAACACTGGGAGGCTGAGGCGGGCGGATTGCCTAAGCTCACGAGTTCGAGAGCAGCCTGAGCAAAAGCGAGACCCCTATCTCTACTAAAAACAGAAAAACTGAGGCAAGAGGATCAATTGAACCTAAGTTGGAGATTACTGTGAGCTATGACTCCATGGTACTCTATGCAAGGCAACAGCTTGAGACTCTGTCACAAAAAGAAAAAAAAAAAGAAAGGAAAGTTACTCAATACATGTTCTCTAGGCCTTTTAGAAGCCATGGGGTTTTTTTTGTTTGTTTATTTTTACAGTTTTTTGGCCAGGGATAGGTTTGAACCCACCGCCTCTAGCATATGGGGCCGACGCCTTACTCCTTTGAGCTACAAGTGCCACCCTATTATTATTTTCTGAGACAGAGCCTCAAGCTGTCGCCCTGAGTACATTGCTCTGGCATCTCAGCTCACAGCAGCCTCCAACTCATGGGCTCAAGTGATTCTCTTGCCTCAGCCTCCCAAGTAGCTGGGTCTACAGGCACCCGCCACAACGCCTAGCTATTTTTTGGTTGCAGCCATCATTGGTTGGCGGGCCCAGGCTGGATTTGAACCCGCCAGCTCAGGTGTATGTGGCTGGTGCCTTAGCCGCTTGAGCCACAGGTGCCGAGCCAAAACCATGGGGTTTTTTTTTTTGCAGTTTTTGGCCGGGGCTGGGTTTGAACCCGCCACCTCCGGCATATGGGGCCAGTGCCCTGCTCCTTTGAGCCACAGGGGCCGCCCAACCATGGGGTTTTTAAAAGGCTTTTTTTTGTTTGTTTTAATTTTTAAGGAAACCATGGAATTAATTGTTCCTTTGGCCCCATATATGTATATCTATAAGAAAGGTGATATTGTAGACATCAAGGAAATGGGTACTGTTCAAAAAGGCACGTCCCACATATGTTAGCATGGCAGAACTGGAAGAGTCTACCTATTATGCTCTTGGCATTATTGTAAACAACTTCAGAGCAAGATTCTTGCCAAAAGGATTAATGTTCTTGGTGAGCATACTAAGCACTCTTAAGAGCCTAAATAGTTTCCTAAAATGTGTGAAGGAAAATGATTAGAAAAAGAAGGAAGCCAAAGAGAAAGGCACCTGGGTTCAACTGGAGTTGCAGCCTGCCACCCCCAGAGAGGCACACACTGTGAGGACCAGTGCAAAGGAGTAAATGCATGGCGTAATAGGTATTAAAAAAAATGAAAGGCTACTGTAAAAATGTTTTTCTTCATTGAATAGGAGTATGGTGTCCCCTTCCCCAGATAAATACTAAAGCAAATTTTAATAGTGTCCTAAAAAGAAAAGACGTCAGCCTAAATCTTCTCATTGGATTATATCCTTCCCAGTGTATAGCTTTCGTTTGTTTTTGTTTTTGTTTTTTGAGGAAAAATAGTATCTCAATAGAATTGTTTGATGAAATGATCAAGGAGGGGTCTGAGGGTTTTGACCAGAGATGCCTTCCGGAGAAGCCCACTCTTAACCTGTGGGATACTTTCTTACCCAGCTTGCCCTGTACACAGAGAAGTTTGAGGAGTTCCAGAACACACTTTCCAAAAGCAGCGAGGTATTCACCACATTCAAGCAGGAGATGGAAAAGGTAACAATGATCCAGGCTGGGTGTGGCTGCTGGGGCACAAACCACTTCACTCAAAATCAAACACTAGACCTGCCTTCTAGAAGCCCTGATCCTGGGGATGGCTGTGGGGAGCTGTTTACAGTCACAGATTGATACTAAGGGTGGGGTAGGAGGAGGAATCCCAGGTTTTCTCCCAGTAAAGAAGTCTCAGTGGTCTGTACACCCTTCAGGTTGTCCTGAAGAAGGGGCAGTCTTATCATTTCTTATTATTGGTATTGGCCATTTAGCTTGAGATTCCCTGGTTGTAAGGTGGCACAGAAGGCATTGACGGCATCCCATAATGTCTTGCCCCTTGGGATCATTCTCCACCTTGGAGAAACAGGTGCACAGAAATCCCAGCTCTGACCATTTCCTTCTGTCTGTTGCATAACCCAGATGACTAAGAAGATCAAGAAGCTGGAGAAAGAAACAACCATGTACCGTTCCAGGTGGGAGAGCAGCAACAAGGCCTTGCTTGAGATGGCAGAGGAGGTGAGTTGAATGTTAGCTTCAGCTGGGGGTTAGGAGTGTGCAGTCATTGTGTATCACTCTTTTCTGTACATTGTATCAGTTGTTGACACAGCTAGTATGAGGTAGAGCTAGGGTTTGCACACATGTCTAAGTTCAAAGGCAGTAGCAGCTATTTCCCCATGGGAGCCCAGTGATAGGTCTGAGGTAGAAATAAAGGGAGCAAATGGAAGAAAGAATGGTGCCACCAATGTGCATAGTTTGCAAGAGATCTGAGCTTGATATTAGCAGTCTTGTTTTATAGATGAAATCAGCTAAAAAGTAAAGCCCTTTCCCAAGGTCATCTGATGGATAAATGGAGGATTACATTGTCCGACCTTCACGCCATGTGCTGTGTCTGTACCACACTGCCCTAATTCATAGTCCAGTCATGGCTTCAGCCACAGCTGTTTCCTAGAAGGGGCCAATTTGGGGCCCTGGTATGCTCCCAGCCTTGTTAAGGTGACTGACTGCCACGAAGTGGTGGCATGGCACTGAATGCCCATTTCTCTTCCTAGAAGACACTTCGAGACAAAGAGCTAGAGGGCCTGCAAGTGAAAATCCAGCGACTCGAGAAGTTGTGCCGGGCGCTGCAGACAGAGCGCAACGACCTGAACAAGAGGGTACAGGACCTGAGTGCTGGTGGCCAGGGCCCCCTCACTGACAGTGGCTCTGAGCGGAGGCCAGAGGGGCCTGGGTCTCAGGCACCCAGCTCCCCTAGAGTCACAGAAGCACCTTGCTGCCCAGCAGCACCGAGCACAGAAGCATCAGGCCAGACAGGGCTCCAGGAGCCCGCCTCTGCCACGGCCTAGGGAGGCTGGTCCTGGGGCATGCTGGGAAGGGAGCAGGCAGCCCAGCCAGGCCTGGCCCAATCAAAGCTCCCATGCTGAGCAGTCCAGTGCTGAGGCCAGAGTGTTCTGAGCTGGTTGGCAGCTGACACTGGCAATTTTGGATTTTGTGGGTCAGTTTTACGTACATATGGCATTGTGCAAGATCTCATGCATTTATATCGATAAGTGTACAATGGGCTTGCATTGGGGGTGAGGGTGTGTACAGATGAAGTCGGTAGCTCCTCTGTGAGCTGAAGTTTTAAGAGGAGTTGTCGTCTGTAGCTGCCATCACAGTGATCTGACTGGACTTGAGCATTTCTCTGCCTGATTTGAGGCTTAGACCCCTCCCAGCCCTTCAGAGCTCATGATAAGTGATACACCCAAGTCTTGACTACATTTCTCTCGTGAGCAGGGCTTGGGCAGCTTGGGCACTCCTTTGCTTCTCTTGACCTGGAAGAAATGTCCCCAGGTGGAAACTTGGCAGGGTACTCAGAACTGGTGATCAAAATGCTTTCCTGCCTTGGACAAAGGACCTGGAGAACATTTCTATGTGGGATGATCTGCTGACCGGGAGCCCCTTGGGCACCGCTTCCCCGCCCTCTGGTAGTACCAGGACCAGGCCATGATGCTTCTCAGTAGCCTTATCATTCACAGGTGCCTCTCTAGCTGCACAAATGATTGACAAGAGATCACCCAAAGGATTCTTTCTGAAGGTTTTTTTGTTGTTGATTTTTGCACATGACAGTGTTGCATGGAGGATCTTCTGAGGAAGAAAGAGGAGAGGGGTGCTGTAGCAGTGGTGCCTGGGAGCCTGGCCTCCAGTGTCCCACCCGCCTCACCACCCTACTTGGCTCCTTTGCCATCTTAGTGCTGAGGTTTCCTGTTTGGTGAGATCGGGTTGTTTGTAGTAAGAGAAAGGGAAGGGTTTCTGGTAGCCATAACCATGCCTGTGGGTTTCATTCCTGGGGAGGACCTCGGCCCTTCGGCTTCATGGTTGGTTTCTGTTCCCTATTCCCTCTCCCCCCAAATGTGTATTCCTTGCGGTTTGGCCTGATTCTGTTTCTGGCACCTTCTTGCCCAAGGAATGGGAGCCCTTGGGATTCCATTTTTTCCTGTGTTGTAGCCCCCAGCTTTTATATGACTGGTAAGGAATGAAACTAAACAATTGATGTGGGCACCAGAAATCTAAAGTGACTGCAGACAGCCCCCTCCACTACTTCATACTGTTACACTGTGTAGCTGCTCTGTGTGCTGGAAGTCCTGCTGGTTGTAGACTTGCTGGGGTATTAGCCAGTCTTTGTACAGAACACTTTTCTGGAACAGCAGAATGAGTCTTGGATCAGGAGCCAGAGCTCTGACAGTCTAGCAGTACAGTACCCCATCTCCAGCTAAGCTACAGCACCAGTGCAGCTGAGTGAGCCACAGGCCAAGATGGTAAACTGGTTAAGGTCCAGCTTTTTGCTGTGTTTCTTTGAAGCTAGGTGTTCTGCAGGTCCCTTCATCTACCACACTTCACCCACTGGATGCGCCTGTAAATCCCTCAGATAAATAGGTTCATGAAGAATGTTAAATACTCCTGAATCATGTTATGACTTAGACCAGAGATGGCAAATAAATGGCACACCATTTCTCCTCCTGCCCCACGGCAGGTACCACAAATCTGCTTCAGTGTTCTTACTACTCCATGGTATAGCCTCAGTTCACATCAAGGTGCCCCCATGCAGTGGTATGAGTGTGGAGCCCTATTTGCCATCGCTGGCTGAGATGCTACTCTCCCATGGAGAAATGTTTCCCAAGACCTTTTACTCCCCTCTGAATCCATGTGTTTGGAATGGTTCTTGCCTCTTCCTGCTCCACTAAGCCCTTCTCCCTCCCCCTGCCCCTATGCCACATAAGGTGTAAAAGCTGCTGACCCTGCTAGGC